TCAACACACAGATCCCAGCGTCGTAGCGGTACCTGGGGAGCTCCGCCTGCCGCTGTAGTCGGGGTTCGGATCGCCCACCTAACGTCGCAGCTACTACGCCTTCACTGCAGGCTGGGCGTCCATCGTGGCCCTAATCGAGACTACAGCCGGGAGTCCTTGGCCCCGTCGGTCTCCGCCGCCGTCCTGGGTGTCTGTCTGGTTCTGCACTCAGACTCGTGATGTCGCGGTACCTTGAACTTAGCCGACTCAACCCGCCACTGTAGCATAGGGTTCGAGCTCACCCGTCGACCACGGCTACAGGCTGAGGTGCGTTCCACCCCCCCACTCGTCGTCGTAGGCTGTGGCTCTGCCATCCTCACCTGGTCTTCACCGCGGCCTGGGTTTTCCAGCCCGCGCGCCCTATATCGGTACTACAGCCGGGGAGCCTACTCGTACGTTTTCGTCGCTGACGTCCTGAGTGTCCGGTTTCTCACACGGACATGTGTCACTGCCCCGTCCGCCGCAGTGATCTGCGTGGTGGCCGTCCGTTCGTCGTTGTTGAGTGCCACCCCCGATGCGAGCTACTTGCACCCTTCGCAGGTAGTCCTCGGGGATCCGGTTCATCACACGGTCCCGTGTCACTGCCCCGTCCGCCGCAGTGAGTCCCGTGGTGGCCGTCCGTTCGTAGTTGTCGTTCGCCACCCCCGATGCGAGATTCTTCTTGGGTTTACACCACGCCAAGATCCACCACAATGGCTCAACACTCGTTGGGTACACGTTGACCAAGCCCCGGTTATCTCGCTGGCCGTTGTTCTCCGTTGCAATGGTTGGTTTATCACGCAACCACTGCCACTGGATAATCAATCGAATAACATCGAAGCTGGCCAACAGCGTGGTGTGAGTTCCTCTGGTTGGTTTATCACACAACCCCAGCCGTTCGAGAATCGTAGTAGGCTAACTGACTGCTCTACGTTAATCTTCCGTCCGCTATCGAGTCGCTGGTTCCAGTGTCGTGAGTTGGTCGTCACTCCAGGTAGGTTTAACACGCTACCGCAGCTGCTAAAGCGTCGTTGAACTCCATGGTCGTCACCAAAGGTAGGTTCAACACACTACCACAGCTGCTGAAGACACGCTGAGTCCACGCCGACTCGCCAGTCCCAGACGTCAAATGGTTTCACACCATAGGCCAACGCTATCCAATTCGCACCAAAACAATCTCATCACCTGTCGTAAACTCATAACACAAAATATTAAAACACAGATAAATCGTTAAACATGAAATAATACTCAAAGGGTTAATCACGGATTATCTCACATGACACTAACCAAACATCGTTAAATAATCAGAGATTAAATTACCAGACAGAAGGAAATATAAAAATGCCTTGTTACTTAAAACGAAAATAGCTAAAGTTGGAGGCCATTCCAACGAAGCAAACAAACTCCACTATTAATAAAGTAACTAAGGCCGAAACGAACTATCCAGTTCTGGTTTACATCAATCTCAAAGGCTTTATGGTAAACCCGTTGTTAAAACCATAAAGCATCGTAAAACACAGGCCTAAGGCGACTACTACCAACACGCCATGCGTGCCGATCGGGACGTGCTAAACTAGCACAACTAATCATAGTAGCCACTGACTACTACTAATAAATTCGTATGATGAGATTAATTTGTTTTGGGCTTACTAAAAATGGATTTAAAATACGCTGGCCTCGTAATATTTAATCGTTACGTTATGGGTTTAAAACACCATCATGATCAAGTCAAAGTAGCCTAAGTCCGTTGGTTTAACAGGAGTGAAAAATATAAAATCTAGTAAAAATGATGTTAAAAACTAGTATTTTACACCCTGGCAATAATTAACTCGGTTTACCTTATATCTAATGGAATATAAGACTTACAAGTTTACTAGAAGTATCACGCGAGCTAACTAATGCTTCACCAATAATGATATAGGGACTTGAAGACCTGTCGAACTAGTCGTCGTAGTTGCTGGTGAGGAACTAACTTTCCTGCTTGCCGTCTGACTGTCTGAGGGTTCCTCGGTTCATCCCTCTCGCTCCCCTCTCTAGCAAAGTAGGGAGCTCAGCTGATCCGGAACGTTTGCTTGCTGTTTGCTAACCCGAAAAAAAGCTAGCCGGTCACCGTCGTCTGCAGCCGCTAAATCGTCAGTCGCTCGAGCTTGTTGTTGTTGACTGTAGGTTATGTTGTGTTTGTTTCACACGACAATGAGTTTTAACTTCAAGTTGTCGGTTTATATTACTCACACCGCATTTCCTCACGTCTTTGAGACGGATTATTGGCCTAAGGCCATGATCTGCGGGTTTACTAAGTGTAGAAAGTTTCTTCGAAGTACCAAGCCGAGTTGAGCCCTAGCTTGCGAAACACATAGCTGGTGAGCCAATAAGCTATAAAACACTGTATAAGGTTTATGTCACGCTCATACAGTATTAATAACTATCGTTCTACACTTATTTAACACCAAACACAACAGCGTATCATGCCTATAGTTACTGATGATGTTATAACTAAGGTTAGCCTTCTAACCTATAACCTTAGTTAGGGCTGGTAGGCTATGCCTAGGGATAGGCTAGACATAGGAATAGGCTAGTTTGACCCCCCCTCAAAATAGGCACGTTACACCTCGGTCGGGCCCTTAGCAGTTTCGGGAGGAATGGTCGAAATCAAGGCATTTAAAACACCTCGTTACTTTCACCCTCCGTCTCAACCTGCAATTAACCCATCCAACCCTCAAATGCTGGAGTGCCAAAACCTTACTGGCGTTTGCGTCTGCCATTTCGGCGACCGCCATCCGCTATTGACTCCGGTTTGGTTTCGTGAGCCACACCCTCAGACTAGCCGTTTGTCCGGCAAGCTCGGGACAGCTTTTTTTAGGGCATCAATGACGTCATCCTCCGTTGACACACAATCCATATCCCGAACCTCGACGGACGTCTTGGGTTCGAGAGCACGAACGGTGCCCTGACCTTCCACAGCTGCCTTTAGTTCGGCAGCAAAGGCGGCTTTATCTTTAGACTTACCCAGTTCGAGGAGGACGTCCCCGTCCCGGGTTTGTCTAATCGACCGTACAACAGTGTCGGTTTGCTCTGGCTTAGCCTTGGCCTTGATAACACCTAAAACTTCGGCGAATGATCCTCCCTCTAAAGGCTTGACCAAAATAGCCTCAGTCCTGGGCTTTTTGGGCCGCGACTTTTTAGAAGCGAGTGCCGAGCCAGGCACAGCTTGAGCCACGCCTGTCGACTGCGCCCTCACTGCCACATGTGTCTTGGAGCCGATTTCCACGTGCCTCAATTTCCTCTTCTCCTTTTTCGTAAGACGCTTTTCCCACACAGTCCCAGATGGTGTTTCTACGACTGACCCCTTTCGGGAGCTACCCTCAATGGGTGTCACAGGTTGCTGTGGCTGTTGAGGTTTCGCTGGAGCGGCAACTACGTCAGAGAAGGACCTAGAAGTCTGGGTCGCCTTGACCTTAACCTTAGGCTTTGCTGTCTGAACAACCTCTTCTCTTTTTGGAGGGCTTTCTGATGTAGGGCTCCTGCGTTTCTTGGAAGGTCGCGCATTGTCGTCAGGTAGGGAGACCACCTTCTCGGCGATCCTTTCCATGGCCGCCTTGCTCACCAGCCGGCAGGCGAAGACAAAACCAAGGTCGTCCTCGAGCTTAGCCATACCATTTTTAACCACTTGGTTAACTCCTCTCTGCGTCTTAAAGGTTTTAAGCATTGCCTTTATGGTCTGCTCCATGTTTCGAAGCCGGTTTTCAATGTCATTTTCTGCGTCAAGATATTGCTGACGCAGAAGTACCATTCCCGACACTTCCAAATCTAAAGCTGCTGTTAGGGATTCCTCCGGCATCCCTTCACCATACTTAGAGGGTGGTCCACCGTTTCCTTCTCCACTTGTCAAGGGAGATCCCAAAGTCAGGTCTTTTGTGCATCTGAAAGTTGCAGGTGGTGGGGACGTCTTCAGCCTTTCAATGTTGGCAATCTCTGGACCTTGGAGCTTCGCCCAAAAGGGTCTCGCTCTACTTCCGACTTCTTTTCTTGCTCATCCGAGCTGCTTATCAAAGATGTGTTCAGGTTATTTGTTTTAAAAGCCATCTTGTGTTTACCAGCGCATCGTGTGGCAAGGGGTGGCCCGGAATATTCAGAAACGGGTATACCCTCGGGGACAGCGCCCCTACCCCAGTTCCCCGTGGCTCAACCTCCGTTTTCCCAGCACCGGATACCTGACTTGCCGGGGGTCACCCGTCACAATGTAGAGCCCGACCTCTACATCCATGGCGCACTCCCTGACCAAGGACCGAAGTAGCTGGCTTCTCACGACTCACTGAGAATACCCATCGGCAGTGCAGAGCACACATCAACCCCTGCAAACACAACAGGGGCACTCCCAAGGACTCCCAGTGAGAGCGTCGGTCACCCTTTTAGTCGCCTCTTACGACAAGTCCGGGAAGGCTGCGGTTCTATTCTAACCCCCGAAACCGCAGGGGGGAGCAATACTATAGTACTAAGGTACTAAAAGATAATGTCAAGGGTTTAGTTAATTAAGAGTAAATATTTGTCCAACATCAGAGGAAACAAACGTAACCACGCATGCATGCAATAAAAAGTTTAAGATTAGATTTAACAGAAGAATGCGAATTGTTAACTCATACCCTACTGGTATCAGTATCCAAAATCAATAATAGATTTAAAGACCTAATCGAGTTTTAACTAAACGAAAACCCGTTAACATATTTCCAAACTTGTCAACAATAAAATTGAACTACTTTTTACATGTTAACCTTATTACTGTATCTAGAAACTCTGGAACAGATCCTAGACAGCAACGGTTATAGTAACGGCATGGATACAAAAAACACAATGGACTGCCGTTACTTGAAAAATCTTAATTACTCATATATTTACTTGAATTTTTTGCACTTGTTGGTGACATAGATGTTTCATGTCCCCTTTTCCTTAGACTTAACACAGTAATGTCAGTAGTGCATAGTTACCGTAAAGGTACTTCTCAAAGCCACGGAAGGTGTAGACACCGTCGTAAGGCTTGAGGCCGATGAGCAGTCCAGCCCTGCGGTAGTCGTCCACCAGTCGCTTCACCAAAACCGCCTCGTTGGATCTTCCAGCTCTGATCTGCAACCGCTTCAGCTCTAGAAGCTCGTGGAAGATCCGTCTCTCTAGGTGATACCTGGAGTAAATATTGACTAAAGACACATTGTTCTGATCATTTGTGTGAAGTACTATACGTCGTGGCTTGCATCAATCTTAAAAGTGGATATTGAGAAAGATTATGCAAGAATATGTAAGATGTTATATATTAAGAGAAAAGTTACTCTAAGATTAAATTTTTAGTTAACGCACCAAACGACAAGGCTGAATATTTATTTTTCGAAAATGCTGACGGATTATTCTGGTTTAAAAAAGGAAAGTAATATAGTTTTCAATGTAATTCAACCAAAGGGTTGCACCTTGAGTGAATTTTAATAGCTGTCATAAAGGAAGTTCGTCACACTATCGACAGAGCATGTGAGCCATCAACTCAATAAAATAAATATAATAAAGATCAATGATTAAAGGTACAACTAAATGAAAAATAAATACATTATAAATTTGTAATGTAAATTAATACATAACTTTTAAAACGTACTTACAACAACCCCTCCAATGAGGACATGAGGCTTGACGATTAATTATTAAGATAACACGTAAATCCGATACTCATACATATAAGCGAGTTACGATACGTACACAACAGGTGCCTAGAGAGCAATGAGCACTAAGGTTTCCGAGTCTTGCCAATATCTAACAAACTGTTGCCCTGGCAATGTCATGTCAGATCGAAGATTCTTTTTCATGTCTCTGAGATCACATTATAAAATTATGTGAACTAAATATTTTAAATAATGTATAATTTAAATGTATTCCTTTGGCAAACAATGAATTCATTATTATACGTGCTATTGCTTTTAGAGAATTTCCCTATAGCTATTTCTGTAGCTGTGTGTTTAGCTGTAGGTATTAGTGTAGGTCTCATGGTAAGACCTAGGCCCGGGACCGATTTACTTTTTCTTTTTGATGTCCCCAGAGGCCAAAAATCCTATTCGTTCAAATGTATATATACTTGAATGCGTTCGCGAACCAGCATGATCGGACCATGGAAACGAATATGTGGCATTTGCCACCACTCTAGGATTTGTGTCATTTGCCACCACTTTATACCTGGCTGGGTGAGTCATCAGCCCCAACCCTAGTCCGTCGGTCATCACCCCTCGAGGCACCGGCCGATGGACCAGGATTACCTATGATTCATACTATCACCGTCTCCTGCAACCTTTTTACGGGTAAAAATTCCAACACTCTCTCTAGGAGTGGAGAAATACATGGCGGAAACGCTCATTATTATCTGTGGTTTTGTAGTGTTACGACGTAGTGCTGTTCTACCAAGTTTTACATTGTACAGTAGCATAATTTAAGTATAGATATTTAGTATATTTTAGTATAATTTGCACTAGCAAACACGTTGCTCGAAATCAAGCAATTGCAAAGAAGTAAAGTAGTTATTTAAAAACAAATAAAAGTAATCATAATTTCCGATGAGTTTAAAAGACTTCGAAATGAAAAATAACAGTAATTAAAATATACAGCTGATCAAAATGTAACAATCATGTTCTTCATAAGGATAACATGGGAACTTTAACAGCCACTGGGGCAGAGCCCAAGGGACTTTTTCAAAATTGTAAGGTCAGTTTGCAAATCTACGCGACACGCTCTTTCCAATGAGACGTCAATGGATAAAATCGGTTAAGAAATGGCGGAGGAGTTCAACCGACAAAGTTTCATGTAGCGTATTAATTATATAGATAGACTAGCTGACCCGGCGAACTTCGTATCGCCTAAGTTATGGGTTTCCCCTAAGACAGACCGATGGAAAGAAAGTACCGTTACGTTTAATTTTCAAGATGATCTCGTTCGCATCGCTCAATCACGTCCTGGTTGAAGTTTGTTCGCTACGCTCACTCACCTTTGGGTTGGAGCTCGTTCGCTACGCTCACTCACCTTTAGGTTGGAGCTCGTTCGCTGCGCTCACTTGCCTTCAGGTTAGCTCGTTCGCTACGCTAACTCGCCTCCAGGTTGAAGTTCGTTCGCTACGCTCACTCACCTTTTGGTTGCAAATTAGCTGTTGTCATAAATGTAAAAGAAATAATAGTGCTGCACCCTGTTGGTAATCCTTGTAACTTTAATGCTATTGAACATCATAGAACAGAACCAACTTGTTTAATTGAAACAGCTGTTAAGATTCATTAATTCCATTTCTCATAAGGTTAACATGGGAAACTCCAGAGCCACTGGGGCGGAGCCCTTTTAAGAATTTCGAAACGGGAAATAGTTTACGTCCGATTCGCATACCTACAGAATTTACACACCAAATTTCATAACGATCGGTGAAGTCGTTCCGGAGGAGTTTGCAGACAAACACTGTGACACGAGAATTTTATATATTAGATATAGCCAGTCCAAAGCCTGGATAAAGAGTGATGGGAATCAGTTAGCTCATTATAGTAACTAACTATTAAGTCTAGTTTCGTTACAAAATAACACAAGTAATGCAAGACTTTTTCTACTGAGCCTTCATAAACTCCGAGTATTTCATAAGTTCCGTCATCAAAGTAGAGTTAAGGCCCCAGAGGTTTTCTGTTTGATGAGTAATGAATTAAAAATAAGAGTGCCATTTAAAAACTGTTTTAATGACATATCAAATAAATATTAAGTAAATACAGGGTGAACAACTTAACTGTACCACCATTGCTATCTCAGACGCTATTAGATTTAGAGAAAACATTAAATATGAACTTCAACTATTTTCTTGTGACAAAAAATATTAATTCCACTTTTTTAAGATCACTACTATTTTCCAATATTGAGGTTAACTTTAACATTTCTTATTTGACAACATGTACTTTCTGATGATTTTAGCATGTAAATGCAATTAAAAACGTTTTTAGTAGTTGTATTTCTTATATACTTTTCTACTTGTTTAGGAGTTACAGCGTGTTACATTTGGAAAAGAGTGGCTTTTTGTAAACATTTTTCATGACGTAGCTCATGTAAGTATATGATTATAAAATACAGCGGGCTTATAAAATTCATAAGAAATTTGAACTCAGATCGCAATTCTTTGTGGCTTTTTTGTTAGAACTTAAAGGAATAATTTCAATATATTTTATGATATTTTTAGAATGTAGATGCAATTTTAAGACAATTATAATTTATTCTTTGAATTTTTACTCCAAACTTACTCGTTTATGAGCTATATCATGCTGAATGTAACAAAAAGCTACTTTTCCCTAAATTTAACACGCTGTACAACGCTTGTAACTCTTTTACGTAGCTTTAAACGTTTTCAAAATTACAGTCTAAAATCTTCATAAAATACAAGGTGCCCCATAAGAAAATTCATATTTTTGTATGTCATAAGATAAAAGTTGAAATTCCCCATATAATGTTGTCTCTAAATCGAATAGTTTTTGAGATAGCAATGGTGGTACATTGAAGTTCTTCATTCTGTATATTCCCAGAATACTAAACACTAAAACTGCGGGTTTTCAAGTATTTTAATGGGATTTAATCTTATTAATGCGTCGTATACTGTGCTAAATGTTATTTTTGTATTAATTATCTAATCTTAGGCCATGTAAGGAATATTCAAATCGTTTAAAATACCTTAACATAGATAGGCCTATACTGTTTAACTTGCGATTATGTGAGTTCGGACTCAAAATGTGCGTTTTCTTTTGCCGAACAAGATGGTAAAATAGATTTTTACAATTCACAGTTGTAACTGGAGATATAGACATTTATTTAATATACAAAAAATTATAAGTACAACTACATGGTTGTGACACAGTCACGGCGGGAATTCCGGGGCGGGAATTCCAGGAACTGACCCTACTGGTGGCAAATGACACTGGTGGCAAACGACACTGGTGGCAAATAGTAGGACACCATGGAGACAGGGTTTAACGGGGGGTTTTATGGGGTAAAAATGGGTGTTCTTATTAAATGTCTTATTAAATACTCGACATGTTTATTCCAGCTTAAATCCTCATCTATTATCAAACCCAATAGTTTTGAAGTTTTAACTTGAGCAATGGAATTTGTATCTATATCTAACTTTATACTTTTATCATTTTTGTCTCTTTTTGTTTTGAAAAGAATGAAATTAGTTTTACTAGCATTAAGTGCTAAATTATGGTCTTTTAAAAACTTGTTCAGACTTTTTAATTCTGATTTAGCAGACATTTCTAAATCAGTTAGTGATTTCCCAGTTGTGTTAAGATTAATATCATCTGCATATATACTTGTCTTACTATCTGGGTCATTTAGAGAAATTGGAAGATTTTTAAGGTAACAGATGAATAAAAGAGGGCCAAGAATCGATCCCTGTGGGACACCAGATGATGATAAATTAGATCCTGTTTATTGGATGATGTTATTTTTGGACAAAGTTAATATTTCCAAAAATTTGGTTCCTCATTTTTTATCGTTAAAACACAAAATTTATCAATTTTTCTCCAAACCTTTTTAAAGAGCTTGAAAAACAAATAATTTAGTATATCAAAGTGTTTTTGTACGGTTATTGGTTACGGAGAAAATAAAAAAAATTTCCTTTAAAATTCCAATGTTATTTTTATGGAGAATATTGTAAAATGTTGTAGTTGGCTTGTTTATAGATATATTTTGACCAAACTTTGCAGATTTATTTATTTTATACCAAGCAATTAATATTTTAATAAAAACACCCTTTATTAGTTTCCCTGTAGCAGCAAACCTAGGTAGCCTACTCGTTAAACATAAATGTTAATTTAATAGATTAATTGAAAATCAATCCAGGCAAATGAAAATTCGCTTAGTCGAGAAGTTTGCTGCAGCGGAGGTATCATTATTTAAGTTTTGGGAAATGTCAATTAATTATGATGGTAATGTTAACCTGGCAATCCACAACACATTAATTTATTATACAGTCGACCAACCGATTCACAATGACAAGTTAGGCATACTTGCGCATGGAGTGTTGCACTGCCTGTGTGACGGAGATGGTACTGAGAGGAGGTCTGTCATCGTCAGAGTCTGCAGCGCCCAGCTGGTGGTGAGAGGAGGAGCGCCGACACATCCGCGGTATCCTGGATGTATCTCCTGTGCATCAAGAATAATTGTTGATGTTGCCTACTAAATGACAAGGCTACTCATAAATTATCTCTTTTAAGGTTGCCTATTTATTAAAAAACATTAAACTAGAATACTGCAATTTCATAAAGGTCTTTGGGCCTTAATTTGCTTATTGTAAAGTTATCAAGTAAAAATCGTCATCAAATGAGGTCGTCAAATTAATACTTCAAATAAAGGAATTGTTGTAATCAGAATATGCAATTGCGATATAGGGACGAATAATACCATAATTAGATATTTGATCTTATCACGTGAGACCTAAGTTTATGTTGTTTAATACAATTATGTTGTATTGCTTATTAAATAGAGTACAGTAGTTTATCTGCACAGCAAAATAGAACTTACTTTGACTGTACCTACGAGGTGACGGCTCAAACCCTGAGTCCTGTAGTTGTGAGGAGTCTGCTCCTGTTCGGCTACGACTGCGAGGAGTCTCCGAGTCAAACGCCTCATCAGGTAGTGATCTTGCTGGACTCACAATCTCGAAGCTAGATGGTCGTCTTCTCTCTCTTGCTCTTTCCCGTTCTCGCTCTCGTTCTCTTCCTTTATCTTTCAGAGCTTCGCTATTAATTTTGTCTACTTTTACAATGCCTTTGAAGTTGTCGTCATCTATTTCTGAACGGGTCAACACTTTGACAAGACCCTTTTTATCAGTTGTACTATCGTTTTCAAGAACTTCAGATTCATTTCTTCTTTCCCTTTGCACCTCACGAATAAAATGCTCCGAGGCTTCATCATCTGGGAAATTTTCTTTATCCTCAATACCTGCAAAGTATAAATCATCAATATCTGTATTTGCATTGCTATTGCCTAAGGCCTCAGGAACTTCTTGTATCTCCGTCTTTTCTATGTCATTTGTAAAATGCGACCCATCAACCCCAGCCAAATTTTCCTTGGCATAACAATCAGTTTGGACATCAAATTGCGTATCTTTAATTTCATTTGTGTGAATAGTTGATTCAATTACTTGGTCGCAACCCTCTGTAAGTGGGTTTTCATTATCTAAAATTAAACAGTTTGCATCTTTGCTACTATCATTGTTACACAAGCGTTTAGGCGTGTCAGTCATGTCAACGCCTAAATCACTAACATTGTATTTTTGGGTTTCTTCAGGTTCTTCTTTTTGTGTATTAGTTGAAGTTTCCACAGCTTCCTTTTCCTCGTATGCAGAAGCTGAATTGTTATCCTTGGAAAAGTTGTCGTTGACATCATTCATATTTACACTGTCTTGTAAATTTTTATCGAGCTTATCTTCGTGTTCGTTGGCTTTATCATTAATACTATCGTTTATAGGATCTTTTACATCATTCGCATCATTATTATTGTACTCTTCATTATCCATAGTTTCCTCTTGGTGAACAATAGCTGTTACCACTTGCTGCATTGGAATATCGTGTGAATCTTGTGTTGAGGGGTCTTCTGTTTTGCTGTCTGACGAAAGGCTTACTATTTTACTGGTTTTTGTGGTAATCTGTTCCTCTGTTTTTGTTTCCTCACAAGTTGTTTTGCTGGTTTTCGTAACTGTTGGATTTTGCGATGACTTTTCTTTTTGTTTGTGCTCAATTACCTTTTTGCTTTTCGTTACTTCTTTTGTTTTAATTTCCTCTTTCAATACTCGTCTGCTTTCCTTTTCCTTGTTGTCACTACTCTTCTCATTTTCAGTGATTTTTGTCTCTTCAATTGTTTTATCAAAATAAAGTTCTTCAGATTCGTCTTTATTTTGATTTTCTTTTTTGTCTTCAAAGCTAACACTTCTTCTCCTCTGAGACTTAGTGTCCTTACTTTTCCTTATTGATGTCCTTTCACTTCCTGATTCTGAGGATACCTTGTCAACAGCAACCTTTGATTTGTTTTTTCTACTATCTACATCGCTCTTGTTAATATCCTCCTCCGAACAATCTTTTATGTCTGTTCTTCTTCTTCTTCGCCTTCGTCTGTGTCTGTCACTACTGTCAGTTTCCTCATCACTATCATCACTCACTCGCTTTGGTCTTCTTTTTCTTCTACGCCTTTTAGTTTTATCATCCGTACTACTTCCGCTCCCTCGTCTGTGCAACTCGTCCTCTACCCTAACCTACAACATTATATCAACACTTATTAAAATTAATTTTGCAAATATTAAATACATCCAGTACAGTAGTTATTAAAGGAGTGAGTCTGAGTGTGATGGTATTTGTGACTTGAGGGAAGGGGTGGGGGTACATGTGATTTAGAGAGAGAGTTTGGGGGTTGGGGGGGTGGTATTGAAAGAGAGAATATGGGGGTGAGAGTGAGAGATAAAGAAGAGAGAGTGCAAGAGAAAATTGGGGGGGATAGAGAGAGAGAAGGGAGAGAGGGAGAGGGAGAGAGAGAGACAATTTGATTTTTTTTTTATTTACCCTGGTCTGGTTTGGACCATAGGTCCGCTCTTACACCAGACCAGACTTAGACAATCTGTACATACATAGATTACATGTCAGTTGTGGCTTGGCAGCTTAACTACCTTATAACTAAAACAAAATTACTTTTACAAATTATAAACTTAAAAACAAAATATTTTCAAAACACAAAACATGTTTGCTTCTAATCAATAGATGTATTAAAACATCTATTTTGTTATTATTTTTCAATGAGAGATAAGGAAATTAGCTTAATTTTGCACGTGTTTGGTTAAAATAAAGTAGTGTTTTAATAGAGAGATAGAGAAAAAAGGCTTAGTATCTTAACAAAAGGGGTTTCTTCAACATTCTATTGAATGATACGCTAGTTGAGTTTTTAGGCTCTCATTCAACGTGTTGACCAATCTTATTGTTTGTACATGAAATGACCTAAATGACTAAATTTTATATTCTGTATTGCAGTAGGTGAGTGATAGTTATAACTTTTAAACAATTTGCATTCCTAAAATTAGGATCGTAATAACCTGTAGGGTCCTCGTTGAGTCGACACCAAAATGTTTGATATCCACGGGACTGTGGACGAGGGACTGCACCTGTCGTACATCCGGCACGGGGAGGCTGGATCCCCAGTCTGGCGTGTTCATCTGGTCTGAGTGAGGCTCTAACCTGTCAACAGCACCATGTCATTAAACAGGACAATGCGTGTGATATCCACGGGACTGTGGACGAGGGACCGCACCTGTCGTACATCCGGCACGATGAGGCTGGATCCCCAGTCTGGCGTGTTCATCTGAGTGAGGCTCTAACCTGTCAATAGCACCATGTCATTAAACAGGACAATGCGTGTGATATCCACGGGACTGTGGATGAGGGACTGCACCGGTCGTAGATCTGGCACGGGGAGTTATTAAGTAATATACCTCAATTGTATATTTATGTTTATTCACATATACAGGGCTGGGCAAATGTAATTGCCACGGGTGTTTTGTATATTTATGTTTATTCACATATACAGGGATGGGCAAAAGTATGGTCATCGCCAATTAACTTTTTAATGGGCTACGCCAAGAAAACAAAACTCTGTACACGTCTCTACGACACGCAAGTGAACTTATTTTTGTATTCAAATTTTGTTCTAAAATCCAAAATGGGTTATTTTGGTGACCCCATCGAGTGACACCTCATATTATAGGCCATCAGTCGAAGAAATATATATCGAAGAAAGAATATCGACGAAAGCTAGAGGTCTCTATCTCAACCCACTACAGTGACTGCAGAATGGTTGCCATTTATATTTTTCAGCCTGAGAGACCCCAAGTAAAAATATACATCAATATCCCTTATTAACGATTTTATGAGTTGCAGCATGATAAAAACTGTACCTTTTTATATACTCGTTAAATCGCTTCAGTTACTGTTACTCATTGTTATATATAACCTACGAAGCATTTTGATAGACATCCTTCCCGACTATTAGTAGTGGTAATATACGGGTTTAACGTCACTTGGGGCGTTTTTTCCCATAAGAATAACATGGGGATCATTTTTTAGCCACCAATTTCAAAAATCCTGATCTTTGCCCACATATTCCTATATAATTGTCAAACCTTATTTTTTACTTATTCCCTATAAATATATTCGATATCAAGCTAAAAAAGCTATTTTTTTTATTTATTCACCCATACAAGTGTAAATTTAGAGTAGTGGTAATATACGGGGCTTACCTCACTTAAGGTACGTTTTCCCGTTTTCCCCATAAGAATAACATGGGGATCATTTTTTAGCCTCCAATTTCAAAAATCCTGATCATTGCCCACATATCCCTATAAACTGTCAAACCTTATTTTTTACTTATTCCCTATAAATATATTCGATATCAAGCTAAAAAAGCTATTTTTATATTTATTGACCCATACAAGTGTAAATTTAGAGTAGAGGTAATATACGGGGTTTACCTCACTTTAGGCACGTTTTCCCCATAAGAATGACATGGAGAGCTTTTTTTAGCCACCAATTCCAAAAATCCTGCTCTCGGCCTATACAAGCATATATTAATGTTCAATACCATTGTTCAACTTCATTACTATTTCAAATCCACATCCATTCACATGTATATTCTCAAAATCATGCGAGGTTTGTACGCGAACTCGGGCGCGCTCCCGGCCGTGGGCACGCTCCATGCCACGGTCATGAGCGAGCTCCCGCTTCTCACTCCTGATCCATGGTCGGGCTTCTTGCCTCTAGTGGCAGCTCTTTATTGAAGTAATTTCCAAGAGGTGACACTAATATTTTTTAGTTATATATAAAAATGAAGACCACATGTCAACAGTGCTCTGCTTCTTTTTCCAACAAAAGCAACCTGATTTGTCACTACAAGTTAATACATCAAATGAAGGCAAAACTGTCCAAAGTTTGTAATTTAATCTGTGATAGCAGCATGGCTCTAAAATCTCATATATTACAAAGTCACAAGACTTGTAATTTCTGTAAAACAAATGTTGTTGGACATTTTAAAAAGACACGTCAATTCTTGTAACAATTGTCCATATACAATGATTAAATTTGTCGGTGAATCGATTAAAACTGAATTAGAAAATACTCTTCAGTATGGCCTCTACCGATAAAATGGACTTGGTAAGGAGAATCAAATTTATAAAATATTCCATGGATCAAAATGGAAAATTAGTTAATGAAAAAGAATGTATAGCGGATTTTAGAAGCCTTACTACTTTAACTATTGAAAAGAGAGATTTAATACCTCAAATTGAAAATGCACTTTTAAAGATTGATGCATCGATGCATAAATATCAAGCCCAAGGTAGTGTTATCTTTACTATTATTATCTTTTAAATGATTTTTTAATCAAGTATGTACCTTAAACGGAGGTTCACTAGTTAGAATCTTATTTTTGTAAAATAAAACATATGTCATATTATACATAGTTAAATCTCTATTGGATACAAACATTTGGTGAAATCAGGATTCGTTTTTGTCCAAACGTCATAGATGTTTATGTTTATTTTTTTTTAAATTCGCTTAGTATGCAGGTTTGCTGTGGCGAGGGTATTTGCAATATTTATGTAGGAAAAACGAAAAAACAAATAGCATCATAATGTCAAATCAAATATTATTTTTTTAATATTTCAATTTCAGTTTTTAAACGTTGTCATTATCCGTATCTCTTTTGGTTTTTGAGTTATGAACTAAAATTATTTAAATTTATTTAATTATTTATTTATTACATACACGGCAAACGCCATTTTACAAGAGAGTTGAGTTGAGATTAATAAAAATTGGTTGTGACTTACAGTGAAATAGTTAAGTGCGATCAATAATTAAATATTATAACAAGTATGAAATACTAATAAATAATATGAAATACAATAATATGAAATACGATAACAACACAGTTTTGATGAATAAATATACATGATTTACAGGACGTGACAGCTATACAGGCATGTTGCACGAAAAACAATATAAATAGACAATTTAACAACAAAAACAATCATAAATAGACTATTAACAACAAAAGCTACATAACAAACCATTTTGAACAAGACAATATAGATCATTTACAACAAAAACAATATAAATAGATTATTTAACAACAAAAACAAAATAAATAGACCATTCAAAAGTAAAACAGAAAGAGAAACAGATGAGTGACATTATTAACAAGATTTCACTACATGTGCATTCTTCTGAGTACGGCACTCGTTTCGGACTTGAAGGAGGAGACACTGCGGCCAAAGAAGTTGACGTCTCCGCAGATGCTGTTCCCTGTGCACATCAGGCGAGGTACTGGACTGTGCTGAATGTAAGAGGTGGGGTAGTGATCTCTTTTAAACAATTGTTGATGTCTGGAATGACGAGGGACGTGGAAGTCAATCTTTCCCAGCAGCTCAGGACAGTCCAATGAGCCATTTACTAGCTTGAAGAAGAATACTGCGTCCATCAACTCTCTTTGAAGAAGCAACGCGGGAGACCAAGAAGCTGACCATCCCGTTGATTTCAACTTCAGTGTAGCGGAAACCCATCTTGACTCCGATCAATCTGAGAAAACGGTTTTGGACTTTTTCTAGTTCATTAACCAATCCCAGTTGGTAAGGGGACCACACAGTTGAGTTGAATTCCAGAATTGAGCGGACGAGAGTCATGTAGAGAGATTTAAAATTGAATTTTATAATGTATGTACAATCGCCCTTATAAGTTATCAATTTCTGTGACATTTTAGTCTAATTTTACTTAAATTTTAATTAAATTAATTTGAGTTAAATTTTATGGTTATATAAACTATTTAGCTATCACAGAGAATATATTTTTAAGCTTTGAGAGAAACCAAATTAAAACTGCCTACCGTATTGTATACAAAGATGTACAAAAATGTATCCAACATTGCAACATTAATCAGATTATTTTACACCCAAGGCTCTCGGTTTTATTTAAAGACATTTCAATAGGAAATAATAGTAAGACCATTTTAAGGAGGAGTTTCATTGTATTTTTTAGGTGCTTATTATTTGTTTCCCTAAATAGCTAAAACCCTGTGATGTACTAACAATTTTGTAGGCCTATATTTGATTTTTGGGCGTTGGACTGAACTGCTATCATGAAAACATTCCTTTTAATCCATTTTGGTATTCTGAATTTGTTATTCAAAGTAATAAAAAAAAGATGTTGATTAGAGCTATTATTTTACATTATTCTCCGTTATTTCACAACCAGCATTGACAACCAGAAGCAATCATAAAATATGTTTATGTTTTATTTTTTTAGATTAATTATTTGTGTAAACAACTAGACTTTTTAGCCAACGTAAAACTCCGAATAGTGTCTACGACATAGGGATTATGCCATTTCGTATTACTAGGAGGTAATTGATAGTGAAAAAATTATTAATTCAATAATCAACCTGTGGCAGGCTTTTTATCAGCATTTAATTGCATTTTTACCACTAGCAATCAGAAAATAACCTCCTTCAGTGATATGTTTTAAATTTCACGATCTGCGCTCGTACATGTGCCGTTAGCTATGAGTGTATGTGAAAATTGGTCAATCATTTAAATCACTGTCTAAAAATAAATCAAATGCTTATGGGTTAAACTTTTGGAGCCCTTTATCAAAATATCCTTTTTAATTACAATTTGCGTTGCACTGAATCTTAAGCTTAAAAATGACACCTAAATCAGTTACAGCTTAATGAATTGAGAAGATAGATGACATTAAACAAGACAACGACATATCACATGCTTAATACTAGATATTAGAGGGTAATTATTAAACGAAGAGCCATTGATTATTTTTATAAACCAATTACTAAAATCAACTACAACAATGAATATTGGCCAATACGTAGAGTAGCACGGGGGGTAGATTTCCGGGGGTAGAATTCCGGGGTCGGACATTTATGATTTACCACTGGGGGTACATTTCTGGGGGTAGATTTCCCGGGGAAGATGTCCGGGGGTAGATGTCTGGGGGTAAATGTCCGGGGGTAGATGTCCGGGGGTAGATGTCCAGGGGTTGATGTCCGGGGGTAGATGTCCGAGGGTAGATGTTTGGGGGTAGATGTCCGGGGGTAGATGTCCGGGGGTGGATGTCCGGGGGTAGATTTCCGAGGGTAAAGTTCCGGTGTCAGGTTTATTAGCATTTTGATTAATTACAACTGTTAAGTAAACCGTGAAATGCGAGTTGATTGAACATATAATAATTTATCCATCCTAAAAGTTCACGGCCGGTAATCTACCCCCATACATGTGACGTCAAAGTGACGTAGACGTTTTTTCATGGGGGTAAATATCCGGGGGTAGAAATCCGGCGACCCCTCGTCAGTACCTTCTTATATTAAGAACAGCAGTTGGTGTGCATATTTTCAGATATGCTGGCAAAACTATTATACATATACAGTGTCTGACAGTTTCGAGCCAAAACAAATGCTTCGCAATTAAATGTCACCCGGATCGTGTTGGTCCATATGTTAAATCCAACGATTAAACCATGGCTACTTTCCACAATGGTTAAAAGTATTTAAGGTACTACCTCAACCTCACAATTTAACACTTTATATTCATTATAAAAGTGGTTGACATTTTCATTATAAAGGTGCTCTTGTCCTTTCCGTGAAATACTGAGAAATAAGGACATTAATGCGTTACCAACAGACATACACACAAAAATACAGAACTTAATTAGGGAAGCATAACAAAGTACCGTACATATAAAATTTGTATTTGAAATCTTTTTTAATGTAATCAAATTTTATCATAACAATTTATATTTGCTTGGACCGAAGCTAACCCGAAATGTCGGCTTACTATATGAAATGAAGTACTATAGACGATTTAGATTGGTAATTTATAATAAAAATTACCAAAATAGGCCACGAACTATTGATACACAAACAACGTAAACAGTTTAGACATCAATTAAATTGAATACGCCTGTAATAAATAAGATGCAACACCAACGATAACTAATTTGTAAATTACAGTAATGTGTTGGTATGTAAAAATGATTCTTGCTGCTACCAACGGTTCTAAGGAAAAGAACCAGTACCAAAAACCAACGTTTACAGTTAAGAACTATAGTACATCCGACCAATTATATGCGTCAATCAAGTCCCAAGGTTGATCTCTTGGTTTTGGATTTTCTCGTAAAAAGTTATCGGTAATCAAAGTTATTTCCCATTATTGCTTTATTTGTAAACAATTTTTAATGTAAACTTATCGGCGTAAGTTTAAAAAAAAATCTTATACAAACAACTATTTGTTATTTAATAGATTACGTATTCTCTAAACAATGATTAGTATATCTTTTAACATTAGAAGGAAATGTGACAAAAGTCACACAATGTTGTGTTTATGGACGTTCGTAATTTTATTTCTTAAGTAGGTAGGCCGTGTATTCTAGGGAAAAGGACCGGTAACTTATCAAGGATCGTCGTCGAAAAGGTTGTTATGAATAAATAATTGGGTAGGCGTAAGTACCCAAGAGATGGGCTATGGGCCTATTCGCTGTATGGTCCAGCGATTGCATCACACTATGAGTAGGAACTATTGACTATATATATAGTCAATGGTAGGAACAGAAAGTGACACATTAGAAAATCGAGTTTAGCATCATCCGTAAACGTCTGTTACAATCACCCACTGCAGTTGTGATTTTTTACTTTACACTTTACACACCGCCGTCATTGGGTGGAAACCTTTTTTCTAAGCTATTGGCGACGATCATTAATACATTTAAGTTTCCCAGCCGTATACAACACTGATTCAAGGTTTTCCTTCTGGTTATCAAAACCCAAGAACAATTTTATACACAAAGAATCTGGTTCCTGACCTGGATGATGCCTAGTTATTTAATTTCATTTACGGTTGGTTACACTATATTATTGCACTTGCGATTAATTAAATCCGTTATGTAAGAAACACGTTTTTAATCTCACTTGGTTGGGATTTGCTTTCTAAATGTGATCGAAAATGGTTACGGTATTTGTAAACAACATTTGTAAACATATCAGTGACAGCTAGAAAAATTCATCTAATGCGAACAGCTATTCGTTATTTCATAGATGATTATATGATAAAAATTGGACGAAAACTTGACAAAAATCGCACAATACTGCATTTTTGAACGTCCGTAATTTTATTTACAAAATAGTGAGGCCATATTTTAATGGCTAAAGACACTCTCGCCAATCAGGTGAGTACATTAAAATGACTTGGATTTTGATAGGTACTCTCGTTTTCCTGGAGAAGATAGCGTAAAATGCCATCTTGAGTGTTACAGACAGACAGAAAGACAGACAGACAGACAGACAGAAATAGAGATAAGACTCGTTTCTGCTTCTTTATTGTATATAACGTAAAAATAACCTAACAATATATAATTCTGAGCAATGTACAGACAAAACTCTAATTTTATTTATATAGATACACAACACGCTAATGTGGATTATTTATCAAGATTTCCTGTCACAGAAGTATCAAATGTATGTGACGATCATGAACAGTATCTGATGAATCAAGTAGAGATGATGTATCAAGAAGACTAATTGAAGAAGAAACACAAAAGAATGACGAACTTAAAAAGGTATACGATCATCTTATAGGTATCAGGAAAAACTTAAAAGAAATCGGTTTGAAAATAGTCAGATTTTCTTACAAGAAGGTTGTACATTAGAACCTCGATAACAAGACCCTCGATAACAAGTAACCCTTGTCCCTTGAAATTATTTTACCCCTAATCACATGTTATTGCAAACCTTGTTAGAAGACAGCCTTAATACCAAGTCTTATTTTATAATCCCTATGAGAGTCTGGTTATCAAGTCTGGATCTACTATGCAGAGAGCATAGCATTTGTGTACCTTCCACTTTACACAAACAAGTCTTGGAAGAGTTACATGCTGGTCACATGGGCATGACAAAAATGAAATTGCTAGAAAGAAGCTACTGTTATTGTAGGAATATGGATCAAGAATTTGAAGCTATGGTGAAACATTGTCGTTCATATCAACAAAAATTGAAAACCCCTTTAAAGGTTTTCTTACAAGGCAAGTAATACAAAAAACCATCGCTCCATTTTATCTAATGGGAAAGCTAAAAGGGGGGTCCAAACTATGAAGAACCATTACAAATTGTAAACTGATGTGTCGGGATCAAGTTAAACACTATATTAAAACAGTTAAAAAAAACGCAGCAATCCACGACTGGGAAATCACCTTATGTTCGGGAGGAATATAAGAACTGGACTATATCTATTAGTAGAAACCCCTATTTTGAAAGAGGTAGAGATACAAGTGACAAAGAGACACTTTGCTATAGGGGAAGGAGTGCTGATGTGGGACTCAAATACCCAATAAATAGTGCACTTACCCTAAATAAAAAAAAATACGTTTAGGAACATTGAGAAAAAAATGGGAAATGTTATCTACCTTGTTTGAACGGAGGATGGATGTGTATGGAAAAGACATGTAGACCAAATTAGAAGATTTTAAATATATAGGGTTAATAAAAAGACTGGAGACCCCCTGTCAAATTTTTTACGGCTCACACTAGAAAAACTAAACTCTGCACACCTTTATGGCATGTTATGAAGTGCGTTTTGGGCATAGCTGCTACTTCGTTTTCATCCTCGAAATGGGAAATTTCGGGGGAAACTAAAACATTTCAAATGGTAAGACCCATCGAGTGACCCCTCATTGTGAAGGTCCTGGTTAAAGAAAACTAAAAACGCAAATTAGGGGTCTCTATCTCAACCCAGTAAAAAGTGGCAGTCAATTGAAATTCTCAGAAGTGAAATTTATCTTACAGCTTTCCAAGTCTGGAGAACCCCTGTAAATTTTGTAACGGCTCACACTAGAAAAACTAAACTCTGCACAACTTTATGGAATGTTATGAGGTACTTATTGAGTCTAATTGCCACTTGGTTAAGAACCAAGTGGGGGATTTTAGGGGAGTAAACACAAAATGGGGGATTTTGGGGGAAACTCAAAGCTCTCGAATGTTAAGCCCTATCGAGTGACTCTTCTTTTTGATGTTGGTGATAAAAGAAAACTAACAACGCAAACTAGAGGTCTCTATATTAACACAATAAAATATGGCAGTCAATTGAAATTCTTGAAACTTGAATTGAAATCCGAACCAGAATGATCGGACCATGGGAACAGGGTTTTACGTGAGGGTTTATGGGGCAAAAATTTGTTTTTCTCATTTTTGACCCTAAAAACACAAAATTTTCCAATTTCTCTCTTGAAATTTTTAAAGATCTAAAAAAAAAATTAGTACATCAAAGTGTTTAAGGGGGAAAGTTAAAAAATTTTAAATTTAAAATTCCCATGTTTTTGTTGTTTGTTTGTTTATGGTAATATTTTGATCAAACTTGGCAAATTTATTTATTTTATACTAAGCTATTAATATTTTATTAAAAAATACATTTTATTAGTTCCCTTGTAGCAGCAAACCTAGGTACTCATTAATCCTTATGTTATTAAAATATATTTAATTGAACATCAATTCAGACAAATGGAAATTTGCTTAGTAGGCAGATTTGCTGCGGTGGGGTTTTTATGTTTAAGTACTTTTCCATTCAACCAAGTTCAAGGCAAATGTTGCGCAACACGTGACAGAGGAAACTCCCAAACGGTTGTTAAGCCCCTACACACGTTTAGGCTGATCTGACAAGCCAAGTTTAACGTGTGTAGCGGGATTAAACAAAGGGCCATATGTCCCACAGTTAAAATTCAATACACACAATACAGTACAAATACAGTGCAAATACGAATTATAACTACCCTCACCACTTTTGTAAGCTTACCTTTAAAATCGATAACCACTTTAAAATCGTGCAATGCCATTTTCATGCGATTAGCTAAATATACTACGGAAGAGGTTGTAGTGGTGGAGGTGTACCTCTGCATGATCCCACGAAGTGCTGCAGAGTGGCTGGTCAGCTTGTTGGCAGGCACGCCACCATGCAGCTGCAGATACTTGGCACAGCCTCGATTGCTCTTATATAATGCTGCATCCAGAGGCGTCATCAGCCCGCCTTTAGAACTGCGCATCACAGGGTTCACTAGTGACTCGTGGTCCAAGAGAATCTGTTCGACACCATCAGTTGGATATCAAAGGTACTTTTAGTAGTGGATCCAAATGATGAGAAAAATCCGTGTAATATATATATATATATATATATATATACTAGCAGAGTACCCGTCCTTCGTACGGGGTTGGCATATAAGTTTGAATTGCTTATTGCAGTTATACTCAAGCTTTGCGTTTGCAATGGGGGAGGACAAAGTTTGATAAAATTTGCTTCTTTAAATTGACGGTATACTATGGTATTACACATCTACCATAGCCATAATGTTCTACCTCTTCACCTAAACAATAAAGTAAAATAAAGTATTACAAATTAAAAATATCACAAATTATCCATGACATTAAAAACATAAACATAACTGTAAACAATCCTACTTTGACAGTTCTCATTGCGTATCACAGTTGTTTGTAGTTCAAGTTAGCTGTTTACATAAACTAGTGTACCTTTTGCTCGAATTCGAGCAATTGCTAAGCATTTCAGGCGTTATTTTAAAACGAATAACTCAAAGATTATGGAATTACTCAGGATGAACCTAACAGATCGATATAATCAACATTTCTTGTAAATAAGGTATAATTTTTCAAAAGCTGATCTTGTTTTTTAGTGTTTTCTACAAATAGCCTTACTCATAGCGTACATTATTTCTATTTCTTCTCCTATGTTTCCATAGTTTGGAAATCGGCTCTTTCAATGATTACTAAGAAATGCAGCACAGTGTTAATTCAGTTTTCTTTTTAGTATATCAAATTATGCAGGCTCTTTCGCTTTTTTCCATTTTAATATTTACACCAACCCAAATTCAAATAGTAAATACTTCATTTCAACCAAGTCAGTAAATGTTTGTAGCAAACTGTTAAATTAGCAAACTTATTGCCTGTTTACAATTAACATATGTTCTTCTTCTCACTTTTAATTCCTAACAACAGCTGGAGTTTCATAACGGTTTTTGTTTCCCATGTTAATCTTATGGAGAAATACGAAACTTTAAAGGGTCCCAGGGCCTCACCCTCTAATTATTTCCCTAAACAGAAAGTTTCCTGCACAACTTCACGTTACGCTCTTTTCAATGACACCAAAAACATGGCAATCGGTTCAGTAGTTTTGGAGGAGTAATTGTCACAAAAAAAAACTGCTTGCGTATTAAATAAGTACGAGAGGTCGTCCAGTGGTCGAAACTCGACCAAAAATATGTAATGTACTCACTTAACTATTTTCACCCCACACTGTAAATAAAACATGTGATTGGAGTTTCCTCCATTTGTTTTGATTTTCTGTTTATATTTCGTTGTTATTTCGTAACCAGCATAGCAACGCATAAGATCCATGTTAATTTTTTACAACTTTTAAACTTATTTTTTGTGCTTATCTTTGAGCCTATTTAAATTTATAAAGGGATTCTGCACACCTACAGGAAAATAGCTTTCCAACGGTATGCGTAGATTTTCCCTACGATGCACACGAGCTGAGAAAAAAGGTTTTAAAGAAACATGCTTGCCTATTAATATATAGATAGATAAAGGGATTCTGCACACCTACAGGAAAATAGCTTTCCAACGGTATGCGTAGATTTTCCCTACGATGCACACGAGCTGAGAAAAAAGGTTTTAAAGAAACATGCTTGCCTATTAATATATAGATAGATAGATGTAAAAAAAATATAGTGTTGCACCCTGTTGGTAAATTTTATAACTTTTTAATGCTTTTGTATATCATAGAACCAACTTTTTTAGTTGAAATAGCTGACTAATTTTTTTAATTCCCTTTAAATATGAATACTCATAAGGTTAACATGGGGAACTACAGAGCCACTGGGGCGGAGCCCGACGGGATTTTTGAGATAAGAAGAATATGCCTATATGTTAATCGGGAATGTGAGCTATCATCATGCCAAATTTCAGCCCAATCCATCCAGTGGTTTATGCGTGATTGACCTTGAAACACACAAACAAACACACAAACTTTCACAATTATAATATTAGTAAGATATATATATATATATATATATATATTAAAAATTAAAAACAAAGTTTACAAAGTACCCTTTTTAAATAATTATTTTATTTTTATTTTTATTTTAAAAAAGGTACTTTGAAAAGGTACTTTTAAAAAGGTTTAAAAAGGTACTTTGATAATTATGTTTTTAATTTTAATTATATTAGTAGACCTAAACATGCAAGAAAATAATTATTGAAATGGCTAACAACCAAAAGATAATATCCATATATGTAATAGGCTAAGCCGTATTTTGTTAATCGAACTCCTCCGTTATTATTTAACCGATTTTGAAGTTTGAGGTCTCAAAATCTAGAATATTAAAACGTAACAGGGTTTTTTTATTTCACGATTCTGAATCAACCACTCGACGGATTTTCATGATTTTTGTGTTGAAAGAAAGATAATTTTGAGAACTAGGGAATGTCGAAGCCATAATTTTAGTTTAGGGTCCCAGTTATTTAAAAATTAAGTTTTAATTTTTGAAAAGTCTAGCAGCCGACACTAAGATTCTAAACGGTTCTAAACGGTCAGATTCTAAAAGCTTTTGGTATAATATAATTTGCTTAACATAACAGCTGTAAACATTCAGCGTTTGTAACACAAATTCAGCATTTGGATAAAATTAAAAGACATACTAAGGGTTGACTTATTTATACTACGTTTAATGCTAATCATTGATACGTGCAATCCTTCGATAAGAGGATGACAGATTATACATAGTAAAATACTAGGATGTTCAAATTATTTTTTTCAGTCATCTTTGTAATCTTCGGTTTGTTTTAGTGCAATCTTTGACTTTTAACTAACAGCTGGTTAAATATAAAATGCTCTATAGAACTATGAGGTTAAAAAAACGGGGATGTTTGTTGTTAGTGAACACGCGATTGATTTTGTGCTTGAAATGTTGTTGAAAATCTCAATATTCTGTCGGATTTAACACAAAAGACGGTAAAAGACTTCATTTTTGTATTTAATTGTTGTTGTCAGTTACAAGTTTGTGTCAATTTTCTTTTAAAATGTTGTAAATCATATTTCATTTCAAATACCTAACATATTTTCTTTTCTTTCAATTTATTTGTTTACATTTTTATTTTTTGAAATTAATTCAGATCAGATGTTGAATCGTGACACTGCTACCAACCGAATCATTGTAGATCATAATTAATTACTCAAAACTAAATTCTGACCAAAAGCCAGATGTGTCTACTGAGACGTGGCAAACTGTTGCTGCACTTTCTAACAAAAGAGGATCAAGTTTGAATATTAAAACATAAAATATTATGTCTTAAAGACAAACTAATGGCAGAAAATAATGGGGAGCCAGACCTACATTTTTTTTATTTACCGGTACACAAATTTTGTTTTTTGCTGATTGTTATTCTCCTTTTAATTCCCTTTCAAATTATATGACATTCATATATGTGATTCAGATGTAAGCCCTTTGAATAAAATAAAACAAAAGATCGCGTGAGCTAGTAAAGGTTAAATCCTGTACTGTAGTTGTGCCAAACAGTATTAGATTTTTTATAAAGTTGTTGGTAAGGGCGTCAGAGGCCCTAAAGTCTGTTTTTTCTCTATAAGGATAGCATGGGAGATAATTTTTGTTTATAGAAAAATATGTTTTTACTTGAAAATAGTCAAAGTATACTACATAAGAAATTGGTTTGTATTATGGCTGTTAATGTATACTGAAGTTTAATCATGTTTTGGGTACCTTAAAATTTACTCATAATGGACCATACTACTTTATTTTAATGCTGGGAATAGTAAAATTTAGAGAATAAGTTACCATGATTTACAAAAATGTACTATAATATTTAAAATCACAAATCTTTGACATTACTGTAATTTATTTGATACGAAACAACTGATATACCAGGCAATTTATAAATCAAACAAATCCTCTACTTCATGTTTGTTGTAATACTGTACAATAGTATATTACGTTACTAGTCCTGAAAATATGTATTTACCGGACGAGTGTGGTTGTTCCCTTACGAGTTCGGTAAACACATTTTGGACGAGCTACGTACGATAGTTAACGCCATACTACTAAATCCGTACCAATCGTTATATATTTTACCTAACCCGCCTAATGTTAAACTTCCCTATCCCAAGCGTGATGTATATAACTTCGTTACTTCTCGAGTGATGTAAAGTTGGAAAAAACTCACTCGGTGATGTAATGAAACCCATTTAAATAACATTGAGTGCTTAACTTAAAAAATATACCTCTATGGAGCCAACGACGTTCAACGCTAGAAATCAGCTGCGCACTTGATTTTATTGTTATGTTTTGAAGAATTTTCCTAACCTAGCTTTTGTTTGTAAATGAACGTTACTGTTAGAAGATGAGTGAAATGGATAATGAAAAATATTGTTCGTAACCTCCTGTATATTGTCGGGTCAGGTAAAATCTTGTACGTTACACGTTACGCAAGAGCGTGTTTACATCACTTCGGTAAATTATGCAACTCGCTTCCGCTCGTTGCACAACATTCACCTGCGTGATGTAAAAACTCTCTTACTACACTTGTAAGGTAAATAGCTATTCACCAACTAAAGGACTAAAAATCACTAGTCATGTTTTCGTTTATAAACACTCATTGCCACCTAAATACAGTATAATCAGCTGATGGTGTCCGGTAAAACTCATTGCAGTACAGTAGTACGCAATGAAACCCCATTTGAATAACCTGGCGGCAAACAGCTGTTTTCTGGACTACATCCTTGCGTGGGAAGTTCTTCAAAATAATGTAGTGTGGCGTAAAAGTTGTTTTTTACCAATAACGTGTTTATTTTTTACTTTTGAGTTTATTTTGAATTTTCGCTATGAAATTACTAAACCAAATAACTTTTATGTAATATTTTTTTATATAAACAAATAGTATTCGAGAATTAGTGCAAGAAGTTAGCGAAGAGCTACAATCCCCAAAACAATAACAAAGATTTAAAAAAAGTTAAATTCCATATTGTTTTGGGGATTGTAGCTCGTCGCTAACT